CATGTAGATCCTTTCTAGGTGTTAGCCTTATAGAAAGAACCTGCTTTGATACCAATTGATGTAAGCTAAGAGTCCACCAAACTATATAGAGAACCTGGTTCTCTATTAGTTCCTACAGAACACACACACACAACGGTAAGTAAATAACACAATAATATTTTATGTAGAAAACTCTTAGCTTACGGGATTAAAAATCACGACCTACACTAGTAGGATTTCAATTTTACTAACCGAGCAACTTTAGATTGTAACCTATTGTAACTTAGGAATTAAACTCTTAATCCCTCACCTACTTGCAATAACTATATTGCAAGTCTCTTTGTAATAACTGTATTACAAATCAATAAATCTTGACTAACTCTAGTCAAGAAACTAAACCAAAAAGCGGTTTAAATCTGCCCTACAAAGACACTTCTTGAAAGTAGTGTAGGATTACAAATGCAGAACAAATAACAAAGACTCAATAAACCTAAGGATTTAAGATATCTTCAATCTTTGGATCTGGTCATTGAGGTTGCAACAACTTTGTTTTTGAGAGAGGTGATGGCTAACATTTGAGAGAATATTATCTTTTTGGATTTTCAAGTCTTGAGAAAATGAAATCGCTTGCCTCATGTTGATAATATGCGTGTGATGTCATCAAGGATGATGCAATAAAGTGTCCTTTAGTTTGGCTTTAGCAAGCTACAACTGTGCTGCTGTATTGTTGCCAGACGGTACAGTGCAACAGTTTTCCAGACGGTACAGAGCAACAACTTTTACAACTGTAGAGTTGACTGCACGATAACCAGGGGAACTGATCCCTATCTGTTCCCTCTGCTGTTCCCTTATCTAATTTCATCGAGAATTGAACGAGACATCTGAATAGTTACTGTGCACACAAGGGAACTAATTGTATCAGGAACCTTATCCGGTTCTCTCATAAAGTTTGTTAAATTATCAAAATAAAAGACGCATAATTTATCAAATAGATATCGACATTTTGATTGAGATTAAACTCATCTAAAATTTTAAATCGTTAAATATTTAAGTGGAAAACTCAAACTGTGTCTTCCTATTGTCATTCGTGCCTGCTTTCAAAAAAGATTTACTTAGACGTGTCATTTAATCACGTTTAAATCAAAATGAGTTTAACTTTTATTTATTAATAGTATTAAAAAAAATTGATAATCAAATTATTTATATACGTTTAAAACAAAATGAGTTTAAGTTTTGATTGATAATTTTAAATAATAATAAATATCTTTTTATAATATATTAAATGATACGAGAGTAATAAGAAGTAGTGAGTACTGATAGTAGAAAAAAGGCATAATAGACTAATAGACATTTGTATTTCTTTTCATTTAACATCTCGGCCCTCTTACTCTATTAGAGTTTCAAGTGGACACGTGAACTTGTTCAAACATGATATTCTAAACACTTCTACAGTTGTGTCTTGCTCACTTGCTTGACACGTGAACTTGTTCAAACATGATATTCTAAACACTTCTACAGTTGTGTCTTGCTCACTTGCTTGACACGTGAACTTGTTCAAACATGATATTCTAAACACTTCTACAGTTGTGTCTTGCTCACTTGCTTGACACGTGAACTTGTTCAAACATGATATTCTAAACACTTCTACAGTTGTGTCTTGCTCACTTGCTTGACGTGGATGACACATCATGACACATCAGTGTCCCCGTCAGAGTTTTCATGGTAAAATAATAATTTACTTTTTTTCACATTATTTACAAATTATATAATTTCTTTTCATGTTTTACTTGTTCATCTATTTTATTTTTACTTCACGAAAAGCACCCCTCTTCGGTCACACCATTGATGGAGAGTTCCATTGCATATTTACTTTAAAATTACATATAAATAAACAAGACCCATCAAATATCTTTACTCAATTTGAAGAAAACTTGAATGGATTGCTCTAGTGGTGAGCACCCTCCACTTCCAACCAAAAGGTTGTGAGTTCGAGTCACGCCAAGAGCAATGTGGAGAGTTCTTGGAGGGAGGGAGCCGAGAGTCTATTGGAAACAGCCTCTCCACCCAAGGTAGGGGTAAGGTCTGCGTACACACTACCCTCCCCAGACTCCACTAGTGGAATTATACTAGGTTGTTGTAATTTGATGAAAACTTGAATATTTATTCAATGATTATTACTAATAAGGCCACGATCTGCGTACACACTACCCTCCCCAGACTCCACTAGTGAAATTATAATAGGTTGTTTTAATTTGAAGAAAACTTGAATATTTATTCAATTATTATTACCAATAAGGCCAAGATAATACCCTTTTTCAGTCACTATCCCATAGAGTTCCGGTGCAAACTTATAAATTAGAACAACAAATTTAAACGAGACTTATCAAGAATCTTTACCCAATTCGAAGAAAGTTGGAATCTTTATTTACAAACCCCCCTAGAATCAATTGAAGTCAAATCCCACACTTATAAGTAGCTAAAACAGAAAATCAATTGAATCTTCATAGGTTTCATTTGAACCCCCACTGGAAGAATAGAGGGAGAAAGAAGAAGAGGAAGAGAAGAATGGAAGGGAAGAAGAAGAGAAATGGGGGATGGGGAACGGACGACACTAATGAGGGAGGAGGAAGGTCTCTTCAGCCTTTTTATTTTATTTTTCTTTCTCTCTTTTTAAATTTATTTTCTGCCTCCTCTTTTTATTTTTTTCTACTTATTTTAATCTTTTAAATCAAAATTACCCGTGCTCACTCTCTTCATTCGGGTGCATTACGCGCATATTATCCAGAACAGGCGGTTAATTATACCGCCGACTTGAGCGATACAGGCATTAAAAGCTCTTTAGCATGTTTGATGGTCGGAAACCAAAATACTGTAAAATGTAAATAAGAAGCGTCGAATGTTATACAAACACCCATAAAAGATGTTAAATGGAAAAACAGAGAAAACACGTAAAAGCAGGACACGTGGCAATGTGGAGTACCAAAGGTTGAGATGGCGTTGCTCAGTATCCAAACTCTACTTACTGCAGTCGACAGAAACTCCTGATTCTCCAATACTCCGTTCGTTCTTTTTCCCAAATCCCAAAATATCCACAAAATACTGTACTATTATATATTCGAATTTATCATAAAATGGGTCAACTCTTTAAAAGCCAGGCTCAAGCCCATCCGATCACTAATTATCAGATCTAATCTCAGGTTGTTCGACCCTATTAATGTTTTAGAAATTTTGATTAAGCTATATAAACTTCGTCATCGTCATGCCAATTAAGGGAATGCACGACTAGTTGTCAATTCGGTATACTTACCAATCGACTTTAGAGGTTGATATGACAAGACATTAAATGCAGGCTCATGGAGTAAAACAAGACCAAAATGTCACCAGCAATTGGTACAAAGGGAGGAGAATTCTTTGTTTGACCAAGACTATGAGTAATACATACATAGAGACATGTATACATATCATTTTCAAAGTTTTAGACCAAAGCAGGTAGGTTTCTTACCATTGAACTGAGAATATATACTAAGAGAAGCCAAAACCCACACGTGAGGAACCTAAATTACTCTAAATTCAAAGGTGTGACGTGGAGCTTTATTATTCTGGCTTTGTAGTACTTAGTAATGTCAAACTTAAGCGGAAATCAAAAGTAATTAAAGAAGCTTATCAGCTGTTAATTAAATGTTTGACTTTAAGGAAACAACAAAACCTACTAATTGGACTAACAACAGTTTGAGAAATAATTTACTGTTCCATTACACAAAATACTGTAATTACTCAAAACCAAAAAGAAGTGGCTTTGTTTAATGGTGATAAAGTTATAGTTACACTGAGTGGCCTTTGGAAGGCTGAATAGGCTTGCGTAATTAGACTGTGGACAGTATTATGATACGCAAAAAGAATCGAAGGAAGAAGACAAAATTATGGGATCTGCATGTTTTTATTGCACCTCCTCTGCCAAAACACAGATCATGCAAAATCCTCACTTTTTTTTTCTGTCTCTATCTCTATTCCTCTTCTACTCTTTTCTACTATAAACTAGGAATATACAAATTTTAAAATAATCAAATCATTTAATAATAATTATTAAGTAAAAAGTAAAATTGGCAATACGAAGATTAGCCAAAATATCTGCATTATAACACACTAATAATTAGAGTCGGCCGAAGAATTTTGTCTATGGATCTTCAAATTAAAATTCATATGCTTTACTAAATTTCAATGAATAATATAATTTAAAAATACAAGAAGTTCGGTGCTATAATCTCACGATCGAATCCATCATGATTAAATTTTAATTCGCTTTTGTTGATAGGGTTAAATTACTTTAAGTTGTTCGAGCAAGTAATGTTTAATTCATAAACAAATAGCAAGAACCAATTTTCTAAACCGGGTTTGGTAACAATTAAGAATAAGCCTTCCTCAAATTAAAGATCAAGTCACTTTCTAAACTTAATGTTACTTTACTTAAACATTACTAGAAGTGGTTCAAAAGACTTTCATTGTTAGAAGCAACCTACTGTTCACACTTCTTTTTAGCGAGGCATGACTTTCTGCGGGTTTACAGAATTCTTTACTATAGTAATTAATTAACTAAATTAAAAAGATCTTTGGGTATGTCTGGGTAAGTGTGCTAATCCTATAGGGTTTCTGTAGAGTTGAGTCATACTTATTAGGCTTCAGAAAAAAGTTTTTTCTTTAGCTTTAAAGATATATACAGAGAGAGAGGGAAAAGGTCAAAAAAAAAAAGGGTGGTCAGCACAGCACGCTTTGCTCATTGAACCAAACAAATTACAACAAATTTTTTTTGGGGGTTGTGGTTGCGTGAGTTTTGCTACAAATCCGTTTGCTGTTTTTAGGATTGGGTCCGTTCCTTTGAGTGAAGAGAATCTCCCTCTGCCCCCCTATTTTCTCTATATACATGACTCTCCCTCTTATATTTCTAGCTTCCTTTTATTTAGGGCTGTATTTTGTCCCGGGCCCGGGCCTTAGTGGGCCTAACGGGCCGGGCCTCGCGGTNTATTTACATCTTCTGCTATTTCTCTCTCTCTATTAACTCTATTCTCCACTCTTGAATAATCTCAAGATAAAACCCACACTCTCACTCTCTGCTTACCCCAGAAAATATTTTAGTCATCACCATATATAATAGCCCTTCCTCCTTTTCTTGACCTATTTTTCTTTGTCTTTGTAGTGTTCCTTTGGGGTTTTACATCTTCTGGATTCGAAGTATTAAATCATCTGGTTTCTGGGTTTTAGAGAACTTTTATACAGTATTTTTTTCTCCATCACTATGTGGGTGTCTTTCACTTCAAGCTTTGGTTGAAACTCAAGGTATTTACAACAACGATCTTCAACTTTCCATGACCTTTTGGCATGTTTTTAACCATAGCTTATTCTTAAACGTAAATTTCTTGTGAACTTGATGTTATCTTCTTTTATGCAGGAAGTTACTTAGGTAGATATCAAATAGAGGTGGTCTTTTATTTCATTTTTATTGACGTTGAATACATAGCAAAGTTAAAGAAATGGAAGGTTATTCAAGAAACGAGGAGAAAAAGCTCGAGTTAAGGCTTGGTCCCCCAAACGGAGACTGGTCTAGAGAAAAGGATGAAACCCATTTCCCTTTTGGTTACATCTCAAACGCTCCTAACAATGGAAGCCAAGTTCAGCAGCAGAAGTTTTCTTCATTTCTTCAGCTTCAATCAACACCACAGAAACATAGTGTTATGGCACAGGAATCATTACAGACAGCTGGTTGCTCTAAAGCAGTAGATATGCAGAAGAGTGCTGCAGAAAAGAAGGCATTTTCACCAGCTACAAAAACAGGTCCTGTCCCCAACAGTGCTCAGAAAAGGTAACTCAGCTTTTTGCTCCCCTTATTTGTTTTTACTTTACTTGTTTTTGACAGAGGATATTCACTATTGCACTCCATGTCAGGTGTTGTTGTGGTCCTATGCACAGAATTCTTTCATTTCATCTTGTAATATTTGTCTGTTCTAGTGTAATGTGATTTGCAGATCAGTATAAAGTATTTTTATTTATTTTCATTCATTAATTGCTCCTACTTTTGAAAGTTGGTTTCTGATTTAAGTTTGATCTTTTTTAAAAAAGAAAGCAAATTGATAGTACTATTTTCATTCATTTATTTCGTTTAATTGTGTCAGTCAAACAACAAATAGTGCCTTATTTTCTCAGTTCCTTACCATTTGATATGGTACAAATATGTTGAATCATATTTGAGCCGTGTTTCTCTTTTGTTTGGTACATATCCTTTTCGTGTTATAACATACTTCATTCCGTGTACACAACTTTTGATTACCCGGAAATTTAGGCAATTCTTTCCTTGTTTTAGCTTAATTTTATTGATTTAAGTTATATGTTGGTTCAATTTAATCTTTTATAGCATGTTATCACTCAATTTTCTCGAGTTAATCCTTGCATGAGTGTAATAGCATGCATGTTATCACTCAATTTTTTCAAGTTAATCTTACCATGAATAATTACATGTTGTTATAGGTCAATTTAACTATGGTTTAAAAATCTATACATGTTCACATAGCACTGATTGTGTGATTCATTTTAATATATCGGGTTGTAGCAGGTTATCACTGAATTTCACAAGTTACCATTCATTTTAAATTAATGGCTTGTAGCACGTTATCACACAATTTCACAATGTTACCTTATTAGGCTGGAAAATTTACTTCTTAACTTAGGTGTTATAGATTTATTTTACTTTAATGGTTTCAAAAATTTATATACCGTCAATACATAAAATTAAACTCCATTTTTATACACCTCTCTAGCTTGTGATGCCCTGTGTTAGTGGTGGTTTGAAGTTTTCCCTATGGCTGCTTTCGGCTTTTATTTATATAATAATTTAAAGTTATTGGGCCTTTATTATCCTAATTATTTACAAATTCCATATGATAGTAACGATTTTATTCTTGAGACTAACTTGTGTTACTTGTTTAATTCTTTATAAAAATAGGACTGCACCAGCACCAGTAGTGGGTTGGCCTCCAATTCGTTCATTTAGGAAGAATATTGCAAGTAGCAGCTCTTTGAAACCTGTGACTGAGTCACATAATGTGGTCCCAAATAAGATTGTTGCCAACAAAAAACCAATGGAAATTTGTCAGAAAGGATTATTTGTTAAGATCAATATGGATGGTATTCCTATTGGAAGGAAAGTAGATCTCAAAGCTTATGACAGCTATGATAAACTCTCCTCTGCTGTTGATGAACTCTTTAGAGGCCTTCTTGCAGGTTAATAATTTTTTCATTCTTTTTAGAGTTTAACTTAAATACGTCGATCGGAAAAACAGCCTTTCTGTCCTCCAGAGGAAAGTCTTCGTACACAACAACCCAGTGAGATCTCACTGCTGGGTTGTTGTTGTTGTTACATCGACTGGTAAAAGGTGAAACTTATATAATCTTGAAAATGCGGAACCTTCTATAACATGTAAAGATGACTTAGTAGTATAAGTACATATATAAGTTTAACTTTGAAGGGGGGTTTTGAACTAAAAGTTCTTACTTTTATGTTTTTTTGTTGTGTTAATTAAGCTCAAAGTGATCCATCTGGTGGTGGGAAAGAGAAGAAAGAAGAAGGAGAGAAAGCGATAACAGGATTATTGGACGGAAGTGGCGAATATACGCTTGTTTATGAGGATAATGAAGGTGACAGAATGCTTGTTGGGGATGTCCCTTGGCAGTAAGCATCTTATTTCCCATCTTATAGATCTGATTCTCTTTTAATATTCTGTTGTTAGATCTTAATGCTATAATATATATGGATAACAATTAGTTGCACTTTTTTTCTGTCTGAAATCTTTGTATCTTTAGTGTAGAAGAATTCTTAGTCCTTAATTATAAGTGCATAGGACAATAATTGAATATTGTTTAGTGTTAAAATGCATGTTTATGACATAGTGCACCTAATAAAGGAAACCCATTTCTGAATTCTAGTATGGCATTTGGTTAGTGGTTTCAGTACACAATTATTATTAGTCTTCAAAGTTTCTGTTTATTCCTGTTGTTTTATTCGGTTTGTTCTAATTTCATATCGTGTGACATTTTCAGCATGTTTGTGTCTACTGTGAAAAGGCTGCGTGTGTTGAAAAGCTCCGACCTCTCCACCCTTACTCGTGAGTTTCAAATTGTGTTTGCCTATTTGATTTGTTTATACAATTATTGTGCTCCAAATTAAATATGGGAACTGAGATTGGTGGCTTTAATTTGCAGGTGGAATTAAGCAGAATTAGCTGACCTAATGATCTGATCTAACGCGCAATCTTGAGAATCAACATTTCTAAGAAGAGAATGACTTGTTTTGCATGGAATTGAAAGTTTTTCATTATTGAAGTAGCAGAAGCAAAAAGTTTATGTAAATTATGAATATTTGCTGCTAATATTTGTGTTTGGAAGGCAAAAAATGAATATTGCTTTCTTAGATTGTTTGTCCCTTTTTTACATCCGTAGGATTAAGAGATGCGTGCTACCTCTAGTTAATTTCTGCAAGTGTATAAAATTAAAATGTAAACCGTTCGTTCTCCCTCTTGAGCATTAGCACTTAATTAGCAGAAAACTTTTAACCTTGATTTGCGTTACTTAAAGTATGAAGGATGATTTAATCAACGTGTTAGCTACAAATCTTGCAATTAACGTTACAATTATGCAGGACATGCAAAGCTGTGTAAAATGGATTTAGCTTTACTGATCTCATTTGGTTGAAGATTAGAATATACCAGGATTATAGTTTTAGAATTAAGGATAATATTGATTCTAGTTAATACTTTTAATTTAATATGAAATATATTTAATCCTTAAATTTATATTGAAATAACCCATTCAAAGCACAGATGATGTGAGGTTTTGTCGTTGAGCTTAATCGGTGAATACTGGTGGGTAAATACGCACTACAGCTGCTGAAAATTCCCTTATTGACATTTTTACTGTAGCATGAGTCATCAGTGTCGGCTGGTGAAAATGCCAAATGCTTTCCTTCTCCTCCTGTTCACGGGTTTGTATCCGCGTCCCAAACGATTTAGAGCCCGTTTGGACATAAGAATTTTTTTTTTTTTTTTAAAAAAATTTACTTTTTTTGAAATCAGCGTTTGCTCATAAAGATAACAAAGAAGTACTTTCAAGGGTGATAGTGACCTTGGAGTGAAATAGAAGGTGTAATAACCTCAAAAATCAAGGTTTGAATTCTAGCCGAGGCAATATTAGGTGAATCCTCGCGATTTGCCTACAATTACGTAGGAGTACCTGATTAAATACATTACATTACATATTGAATTGTTGAAATGCGCACAAGCGAGCCATCCCTAGCTTTATCAAAAAAAAAATTTGTAAATTAAAATTCCATATGCTTTCAGTAAAGTATTGAAGTTTATCTCGTCAGATGATTTGATTTTGAGTGGATAACTCTTTAAGAATCAAAAGCCAATTCTTTAGAACTTCGGATTAGGGAACAAGGAAGATTGGCAATGCCCATAATTCCTCCCTGATTTATGAAATCTGGTTGTCAGATTTGGCAAATCAGTCACAGAAATCAATGTATTTGGAGAAGCAGTGACTGTCTTTCTGATACTAAAATTTTTTAAAGTATTAGAGCCGTAAGAGTTGAACATCACTTGGTGAAATGAAATAAAATGCAGCACCCACATGAAGAATAAACCACATTCCTCAAGTTTCTACTCCTAGAATATTGAAACACTTAGGAATATTATGTTCCCAATTTTTGGGAGTGTTACTTTGAGTGCCCGTATGGATTACTAAAGAACTTGGTTCTTTACCGTGTTCCTTAAGCGTAAAGTAAATAAGTAAGAAAATGAACACAACGATTTTACGTGAAAAATAACCCAGCTCAAAAGGCGCAAAAATTACGGCCTACCATGTAGGATTTTCAACTCCAGCTCCACTAGAACAATGAGCCAAAATGTATCAATTACAAGACTCTAATTCAATACTCTCCAGTACTCCTACTACTCCTATTGATTCACAAGTTACTCTAACTTGTAAAGCAAAATACTCACTCCTTACAACTCAATTTCCTAAAACATATTCACTGGACTGACTTGGAAGAGTACAAAGCAAGTACTTAACACATGTAAAAATAACTTATGACACTTTAGCTGATTTGTAAAAGGATAGTTCAGAAGTCCAAAATCAATCATATTTAAAACGCCACTTGAGATCTTCTAGAAGTTCTATTCATAGTTAGCTTACTCTTTGATAGGACTCCTACTGTTCCAAGGATTACATAAGCTTTGGGACTTTTGTCTTTGACTGAATTATATATCTGTATCTTCTTGAGCAACGACCTTTATCACTTATAGCAGCCATCTTCCACCAAATTCGGATCTGGGTAACTTTGAGATAAAGTTACTCTCTTGTACATACGTACAAATATCAATCATGAGGAGCTGATCCTTTAACCTGAGGAGCTGGTTCTTCACAACAATTAAGCAGCTACATTGAGGATATGGTTCTTTGAGCAGTTAGTCACACTTTGTTAATCAACAAAACTTCAATACTCAACAAATTCCCTCTTTTTGATGATGACAAACTTTGTACACAGAACTAGGCAATCACATCAAAGAACCAGATGATCACGACAAGTACTATTGACAGACATGTATGTTCACAACCCATAACCTTCCAATCTTATGTTTCCCCTTTTGGCATCACCGAAAAACACAAACACATGTTATACATTAAGCACAAATAATGTAAGATTCAAGGCCAAACAAACGACAATACAAGCATAAGAAAGGGCAAATAAAGAAGGCTGATGATCCAAAAGAATACAAAGCAGTAAAGCAGAGTAAAATGAGACATTAAGTAGTTCCAAAAGAAGACAGGGCCTTGTCTTCATCATTAAAACAAAATAAACTAAGCATGCTGCAGGCTACTCAGACTAAGACAGAAGAAACAAAAGATAAGACATTAGTAGAATAGCAAAAGAACTAAGGACACTGAAAGGAACATGTTCAGGGGTGAGAGGCAGAGGGGGTCGAAGGTTTCACAAGGGTAGCAATCTATTGAGCATGGGCCTCTCTGTCTCTTTGGAGTTCTTCCCTGAGTTGCTTAGTTTCCTTTCTCAACTCATTATTGTCTTCACGAAGCTTGGCATTCTCTTCAATAGCCAGCTCCAACCTCTTGCTGAGCTCTACAACCCTACTGCTCCCAGGAAGAATGGCCGATCATGTGGGTCCTCTAGACTTGATCTCCTCATAGCCACACTACTTGAGGATAACAACATCCAAAACGTCATTGTGGTTTCCAAACTTAAGCTCAGGTAAGGCAATGTTGAGCTTGTCAAATAACGCAGTCAACATGAAACCATATGGCATAGCATGCTTTGGTTTGGAGGTATCTTCAACTCTTGCCATGTACTGAATCATCATGCTAGGAAGATTGATAGGTCGACCAGTGTCAAGTATCTCCATCACAGCCATGTCCAGCAGAGTAGCTTCATGCCTTCTCTCATACCTCTGAAGAATGCAGGAGTTGATAAACTGAAACAGTAGCTTGTGGAAGGGAGTCATATCTGTCTTTGGTACACTTTCTAGGGAGCATCTATTTCAAACTTTTGGGAGAACTTCCTGGTGACCACAATGCGATAGTCAACATCATTGTCTATGGCTGGCCACTTCTTCTTCAAATAATTGTCAAATTCCAAAGAAGGGATATTCAAAAGCAGCCCCAGTTCCTCAGCATCAAACTCCATGTCGAAGCCCCCTACTTTACTCTTGACTACCTTCCCATCAAAAGTGAAATTTGTTTAGAACTCCACCACAACAAGAACATATACTAGAGGGAAATCTTTGACAAACATGTGCTTCCACCCCTGTAGCTCCAGTTTCTAAACCAATTGAGCCATTCCCTTCTCATCAGTGTTCGCAAGAATCTTCCTATTTAACACTTTTCTGTTCCTGAACTCTGTGAGTCGATCAACTGCAGTTGTCACATCCTTTCTTGGCTTACCCCTACTTGCTCTTGCAGAAGAGGTAGCAAGTTTGGTGACTTTGGCACCCCTTTTCTTTGGTGTAGCATACTTTGCTGGCAAGACAAAGTCAGATCCATCTTCTCCATCCACTTCAACAACAGGTTCCAACATTGCAACCTTCTTCTTAGGCTTCTTTGCACTTCTGGACTCCTTCATGATTTGTGCATCAACAGCCTTTCTATTACTCCTTGTGAGGGGAGTTCTAGTAGGAGGAACTACTACTTTTCTTGTTGAGACTGCTGACTTGGTAGCTTTCACAGTAATCTTCTTAGGCTTTTTCCTTACCTAAGATAGAGAAATATTATTTGCATCACTGCTAACTTCTTCATCTCCAAGGAGTTAACAGAGACCAAGTTTCTTGAGCCCTTATCTCTTTACCAATTTCTTCTGAAAGGGCTAAGACAGTGTTTCCAATTGTCATGGAACCTTCAGATTCCTCAATCACATTCCCCTCTTCTTTATCACTTTCGTCATTACCTCCTTCACTCTCACTCATCTCTTCTTGATCCTCACCCTTACTTTCAGAAACCTCCTATTCTTCACCTGATTTTCTTCTTCTGCAGAATCATTAGCCAGTTCAACTGTCTTATCCTCTGTATCACTCTCCTTTTCATCTCCAGATGCTCCCTCATTCTCACTCATTTTTTCTTATTCGGGTATGTTTTGAGCAGCATGTTCCTCATGACTATTCACAGTTTCTTCTTATTCTCCACTTTCCTCACCCTCAGTCCAACTAAAATCAAGGTCATCAGAACCCTCCTTTTGTACTGGTTCTTTACGTCCTCCCCCCTCAACCACAGGCTCCTGACTCATTCATATTTGACCTCCCCGGAACTGGCTCGGCCATGTGAACAACTTCCTGTGATGGCTCGGGTTCGACCCTACTTCGGTGCGTGGTTCTGATTTTGAAGTTGTGCTATTGCAACTTGTTGAGCCTGCAGCATTTTGAATATTATTCGAAGGCTGATTCCGCCTTCTTCGCCGCCTTATGTGTTTTGACCGGATGATTGAACATATCTACAGATGTTATTTTCGGGGTCGACGCCTAGATTTGCATTCAGGGCAACATGGGAACTGACGTCGATGGGGTCTACAACTGGTACTCGCTCGAGATCAACTGGAGGTACTTCGTTTCCCGGGGCGGCTACGTTGTCATTTTCGCCATGAAAACCAAGACCATTATCGATGTGTGTGGGTACTGCTTGAGAGTTCGAAATGCTGATCCTGGAATCAAAAACACTTACAAGAACAAGTGTAAAGCAGTGTGTGTTATGAAAATTAACACCAGACAATCACTATTATCTTTATCCCCACAGTGGGCGCCAAATTATTTATCCTTAAAATCAGATAGCAATTAAATTTGTAAGTGGTTTTAAGGATATGTGATTTAACTTGGAACAAACTGAGAAATATAAGAATTGAAGTTAGAAATTAACTGTAAAATGAAGCAAACCAATGTAACGCGCAACTTTGTCCCTCGTGCTAGGTCGCCCTCGAACCAACTGAGTATATTCAAGATAGCAGGGTCGGTTCCTGACACATTCACATTTGACCTCCCCG